GAGCTAACTACAATGATAATAGTCTACAAATCTAGCTAACTAATCACTGCTCTATGCCAAAGGCGTCCTAATGAACATTTAAGAAAGTTAGTTTAGTCTGTCACAAGGCTACAAATGTCAGCATCCAGTGGGGCTGGAAGGCACTCGACTCTAATAACGATCTGCCCAGTAACTGTTATTCTATAACGAAGAGCCCAAGTATAATTTAATGATTTTAGACTAAGAATATTAAATATGTACGTATATAGGTGTTTAGTTTGTCTCAGCACTACAATCGTAGAGCATTGTTTGCTTTGGAAATGAGAATTTTAAATTTTGGCTTTTTATCTGTGCTCGAAACCCGACCATCCTCATCAGTGGGAAAGAAGTAATTACGATTCGCTCAGCCAAATTCACTGTATGCGTATTTGCAACGTTTTTTTTTTAATTTTCTTTTTAACTTGTATACAGTTATTTAAATACTGTGGCTTTATTTAAGTATGTTAAATGCGCGATTACTTGGAATACAAAATCTATCAATAGTTACAAATAATAATAATTTGTACTAAGAATAAAAAAGATCGCGTCTAAATTGTAATAATATGCAAAAGCTAAGAATTAAAATAACGTATAAATATTTCGGTGGCATTTCAAAAAAGCAACAGAAAAAATGTTCTCATCAAAAGAGAATGTTACAGACAAAAATAAATAAAAATAAGATCAGAAAATATAAATATATTCGCGGACATTGTAGAAAACGGATCGTTAAAGTGTTTTAAATATTTTCCTCCAATTGCTGTTGGCTTAATGGCAAAAAAGTCTTGTAAAAAGATAAATACATCTTGGCGTGAGATCATATGTCGTCGACTCAAAAACCTTAGATCGTCTACACATATGTACGCCAAGCGCACCCCCAACTTTTGCTAAAAGAGGAAAGCGAAGCGTCTATAGATGAAAAACACTCTGATGATAGAAAGTATGTTTAGCTCATCTAATCAATACGCTTACACTTCATTTTCTTCTGTAAACTGCGAGACATTTAAGAAAACATATCAACTTTTCCTCTATTAGATATATGTCCATTTCTACGAACTTATAATATGGCCGTTTGCTTTGAAAAGGTACATCCACAGAAAGTCAACACAAAAACATTTTATTATTTTTCTTATAATATTACTACTACTACTATTAATAATAATAAATGCATCATCATCATACATTAATATGGGATTTGTCAGTCTGTAGACAGATGATGTCATTGAAACATGAAGAACGGAGCTTAAGGTTACAGAAACATAAAAAGTGAATAAATTACAGTTTTAAATTTATAACAATTATTTGAAGTCTATTATAAAAAATAGACTTAATGTACCTATTGTGACTACGGGTAATTATTAGGTTGGTGCAAAAATAATGTCGTTTTTTGACGTTAAGTTGAACGTCAAAAACGACATTATTTTTCAACCAACCTAATACAAACACCGCTATAAAATAAGTTTTGGTGGCAACATTGATGCAAGCAAATCTCGGACTTTTACGTGTGTACATATCTTTTTATTATTTTAATATCTAAATGCTAACATTGAAACATGGCTTAAATGTGATGACTAAGATGTCTGATGGTTTCGGTTATATAGAAACTGATCTTAGAATAAAAAGAAAAATATAATCAACATATTAATTCCAGTTTCGAGCGAACAAAATTCATGATGGCAACCAGAAAACGTCGATGCATTGTCTTTGAGAGAATAGATAAACGTACATAAATAACTACGATGAATAGACAAAAACGATTCTATTTCACACAACCTAATTCCTTTGCAGATTGTTAGCGCTTTTATCTTGTATAAACGCATGTGAAAGGCAGAAAAAGGAAGTAAAAAGACGGGTGTATGTCAAACTGAGAGGAGTTTGTTAATAGATTGTTAAGAGAAAAGAAAATGTACTAACCATTAAAGAAAGGGTGACATGTCATTGGAAGCTGTGACCAATTCCAGTGAGATCGCACGACAAAGGACAGAACCCAGGATCTTTTCTTTATTTATTAAAAAAAAAAATTAACGGATATCTAAAGTGCAAACATTAAGAAAACGTACTGAAGAAACAGAAAATCTAGCCTGTCATATATAAAGGAACGGATTTCAACTAAAAGTTTGGTACTCAAAAGGTGCCAAATAAAAGATGGCGGCGTATTAATTGGGGAGAGGTATAAAAAATCATAAAAGTAATAAACGGAGGAGGGGTAATGAGAAAATCTCATAAAGGGGACGAGGGTGATCAGTAAACGGGCGAGTTGGAAAATAATTAAAAACAAATATAGTTTATTGCTTAAATGAATTGAACACATATTTCACTAAAAGAAAGTTTGTCCATTTCAAAAACATTTTCGAGCAATTTATAGGGTAGTGTGACTGTGAATAGTCAAAAATTAATAAGCACAGGAGAAGAGTTTAATAGCTTCTTGTGGTGGAAATAACCCAAAAATTACACGAGTGAGTCAGGGGTGGGGGAGATGTTTATTCGGCACCCAAGAATCGTGATTTAAATAATTTTTCTTTCAAGGAATCGAGAAATACATTGTGAAATTTTAAACAGAACCGGAAGAAAATTAGAAATAAACTCGAAAAAGGCGGGAAAATGTTGATAGGTGTTTACCAAACTCAGTTTGGTGACATGAGACCCCCAGTGAGAATTTAATTAACGACATAGTAGTAATGGTGTTATCAACTAACCTTTGACCCATTACCACATCACGAATAGCTCCATGTCTCTTGACAGTTAATGAAATATAGAACTTTTATTATACTCTCCCTGTTATCTGTATCGATTATTATTGTGTTGTGAAATTGAGCCTCACTGGGAGCATCACAATTGTAGCCTTGGATCAAAGTAAGATGTGGAGATTTTTTGACAAATGCCTTATCTTACAACGATGTAGGTGATTATAGCTGTCCTAAGACTCTTTCTTTTATTATCTGTGAATTGCTAGAACTTCCTGGAAAAGATAACGAATGGTTTCCCGTTGCCTTTTCCATGGCTTTGAATCCAGAGATGTTCTCCGAGACTGCTTGCCACCCATGGCCAGAGGAGCCAGTCTACCTTATTATTTAAACCATAGTTGGGTGTGGGGAGAAGAAGTGGATGCATACCTTTCTTAAGGGCATTCATGAGAAAATGAACGCTCCAAACTCGGTCGGAATTTGAACTCGGCTCGCTGAGTTCACTTTCCGCATCGATAACGGCTACTTTTCCCCATGTGAAATGTCATCAGATATGGCACGCTATCGTTTCGGCTTTAAATAAAGTAATAAAGAACCTAACTTTTTAACATAGTTTTGAAATGAGAAAATTTAGTTCTCCTGAAGATAAAGAAACGAAAGTGTTAGTCGTGTCACCGGAACCTCAGAGACAGTTGAAATTTGTAGGGCTCATAATCAAGAAAGAGAGCGTAGAAAATTTGACACTGACAGGACATATTGAAGGTACAGTGTAACCCGGATATAAGAGACCCTGATATAAGAGAAACCCGGATATAAGAGAGATTTTCCTGTGTTAATGTATATAAAATAGACCAAACCCGGATATAAGAGAAACCCGGATATAAGAGACGACTTCTCCGGTCCCGACAACTCTCTTATATCCGGGTTACACTGTAATAAGGACAGAGGAAAACAACGTATAACCTATACAACGAGATTGCATAAAGACTTGAGACAATAGAAACGTGGTTCTATGGAAGGATGACGAGAACACCATGAATTGAACATATGAGCAATGACGAAGTTTTAGAGAAAATCGAAATAAAAGGAACACTTATGCTTAACATCAGAAAGAAACAGTTGAAATTTCTAGGGCACGTAATGAGGAAAATGGGCTTAGAAAATGTGACACTCACAAAACATTAAAGGCAAGAGGGACAGAGGAAATTAGCACATAACCTACCTAACAAGCAAATCGTTGGCAGAACAGGGATTAAGAGAGATAGTGAGAAGACAAAATTTAATAAGAGTCACAAACAGCAGGAAATTGTGGAGAGCCATGGTTCCCAACGTCCCGAAGCGACACGGCGCATACAAGAAGACAACAAGCTGCAAGGGTAAGTTTACTAAATATGTCTTCCATGTTGTGCAGCAATGGCAGTTTACTTTCGTGTACCCTTGCTAGTCGTGAGTTCGATCTCCACAAGTTGTTCTCTTCATGTGACCTAAGTGCGACTGAGTTAAGTTCAATAAATAACCACAATGTGGGCAATGTACAGGTGCCTACAATAGCGTGATGCTTCCCCAGCTCATTTCGCAGACGACTTCACTGGTATCGTGACTTTGTTACTAGTTTAGTACTCTACCACTTTTACCTTAAGCCAGTAAGTAAATAACATAGTTATATAACTTAATTATAGTGAAGCATGGCCAACGTAAAAATTCACTGTTTGCTACTCGCACAACACATGTTTGAAACAGTGGTCATGTCATTGTTTTCACTTACGCTCTTCATAACCTATTGCATTATGGGATGTTATGCCAAGCAATTCCTCTTCATGGCTTTTCTTAAGGCAATGGACATTATTTGGCGAATAGCATCTTATCTCCAAGTAAAATCCAACAGATTGTACTGGTTTACATGGTACCAACAGCAAAGAACAACCACTGGTCTCAATAAGAAAACCATTTTAAATATTTTCCCATTTAAATATCTATATTTATTATACACCAAGTGTATGTGTTTTTTTTTATCTGTAATGTATGTAACATTTTATTATACTGGTGTTATCTCCTTCTTCACACTGCCGAAGCCAAGTAGCAGTTTCTTTTCTATCACAATGGCCGACTGTTCGAATATGTTTACATAAGCAGGGAGATGAAAAGGCTGACTTCAGGAAAAAGCAATTGGAAAAAACATTTAAAGATTAAATAAAATAAAAGTCTTACATATAAAACCTTATATATCTTCCTTTTTGACAACAATGATAAAGTTGTTAAATAAAAGAATTTCACCTTACTAAATATTTAATTTTATCATAGAGTACAATATTCATTGTTTCTTTTCACCTTCTGCTTCCTCTCCTTTTCTTTCTTCTTTTTCTTATCCTCTTTCTTTATCTTCGTCTTTTCCTCTTCATTTTCTTCTTATTTTTCTTATAATATTACTATTACTACTATTATTAATAATAAATGTATCATCATCATACATTAATATGGGATTTGTCAGTCTGTAGACAGATGATGTTATTGAAACATGAAGAATAGAGTTTGAGGTTATAGATAAGGGGAGAATAGCAAGTGTCAAATTATTGACTTTGTTGTTCCATATAACACAAGAGTGGGCGCCAAAAAATTGAAAACATAAAAAAAAATACAAGGATCTGGATATGGAGCTGAAGACGCTATGGAACATGAATGCAGAACTAATTACTGTAGTAATGGGAGCGCTTGGAACACCACATAGAAAACTGATAAGCGCTTAGAGTGATTTGGACGACGCGAATGGAGGAAGTCTTGCGAGGCAACCGTCTTTTTCATCAGGATCTAATCCGATTCTTTGAGCATCAGTTCAAGATGAAGATTAAAACTGATAGAAAACGCTTGCATTCGACAGTCTTCAGCGAAAGGTGGGTGAAAGAGGCGAGCTTGGTTCGTTTGAACGGGGCTAGCCTTGATTACCTACGTTACATCGGGGTGGTTTCCTGTGGAGCCCTCCCCTTGGTTAGGTTAGACAAGCTTTTGTGTACCTAGTTAATGTGAGTAAGAGTTGTCCCTTGCCTGTTCCCGGCTTCCTCTTTGGTTATGGTCCAAATTGAGATTCCCAACCTCCCCAGTTTGTTTCGGCCCCTTTTTATCTCGACTGGGTCAGATTTTTATTTCCCATGCCCGTATATTTTCCTCCTTTCCCACTCCCTTAGCGAGAAAGCCTCTTGATTTTGTCCAAGGGGCAGAATACAGTGGCCTCTCTTTTTGAGGGTTGGGCGGGCCCTACTAACATCAGTTATGTTTAGTCTAATTTGTGTTTATATTTAGTTTGTTTTGGGGTTCATTCCTTCCTCTCATTCTATTCATTCATAAATTTTTAAGTATATATTTTATAATCCTTTGAATTTTATGGCATGGGCGCGTTTTGTTGGTTCCCCTTGGGAAGATGAGGTATTATGGTGTATGGAGGATAGAATGGTGACGGACGAGTTCTAATGGTGAATGTGGAAATTGTAATGTGTGAATGGATCGTGAATCAGATTAGCTAGGTATAAGATAGTGATGAACAGCCTCAACCCCTCCCCATTTTGACTTTGTGCCGCAATTGTATTTTAAATACAATAAATAATAATTGGAATTGCGACGAAGATTGTAGACAAGAAAACTGCCATCATTTACTCTGCAAGTATTATCTGAAAAGTTCTTGAGTTGTAAGGGGCTTCGTTGACGCCATGTCTCAAGAACAGAAACTAACATAATAAATAAATAAATATCGAAAGAAGCAATAAAATTCGTGGTATCCCTAAAATTTCTCTCCATGCAATGACCACAATTATGTTTTTTTTTCTGATTACGTGGCACCTAATCTGTTTCCATCTTCTGATGCAAAAATCTTGTTGTCTCTTGAAGTTTCTAGTTGAGTCTTCGGGCATTTTTTTTAATCAATTCACCCCAAGCAAGGTGATAATGTCGCTAAGGCGCAAAGGGCTACTGTGAGTGAAAGAGAATGAAAAATTCTTTCAAAGAAACTGGAAACCAAATCCTAAACAACAACAAAAAACAAGTTATAAGCCTCTATTCCTGTTTAAAGGACTGAAGAGAAGTGCAAACCAGACGACAGGTGAAATAAACTATTTACTACTATTGAAGGAAAAAAAATACTAAACAAAATGAAGGCCAATAATAATAATAATAATAATAATAATGATAATAATACCGTTATAATTTTTTAAAATTTGCTCATTCACCTTTTTATTGGAATTCTGTGATTAAAACACGAATGAAAAGGTGCCTACCGTAAAACAATGGTGAGTAAGCTGATTCCTTCAACCATCATCAGTGTAAAGGGTTCGATTCTCACTCTTTTTGTCCACTCTCAAACTACCTACATTATAAACAAAAGGATCTGTCGTACCACGATAGTTAAAAAGTTAATCTTGTAAACCTTTGATATTGAATTAAATGCTTGATAAGTGCTCCATTTATATCCCCTCCGCAAAACTTTAAGCTTAGTAAATAAAGTCAATAAATATTAACTAGTAATCTATGATATCACAGACAGAATCTATTAAATTAAAACGTTACTGTCCATTTTTATTGATGACATGTCTTCTTTTACGTTCTGTGTCCCATCAGTATGTGGGCGATCATGACTCTCCATAACTTCCTATCCTTTGTAGCTGTAAACAATGTTTAACCCTTTACTAGCACCCCCAATCCCTGTATTCCCATCTATTAGGTAGATTATTCAATGTTTCTCTCTGTCTTTCTTACTTTCAGTAATCCTTATGTAATCCAGAAATTTAACCTTTTCCTAAGTACAATTGTCCTTTTTATTCCCTTTTCTTTTAAAACTTTCTCGTTGCTCACATGTTCCATCCATGGTATTCTCAGCATCCTTCTGCAGAACCGCATCTCTGTTACTTCAGATTTCCTCTTCATTTGTGAGGAAATTGTTCAGCATTCACTGCCATATAAGAGGATTGATCTTACGTTGCAGTTCGGGGAGTGGGTGGTTCTAACGAAAACAAATCCTGTCGCGAGAGAGAAAAACAAAACACTTGCATACACACAGGCAAATTTCAATTTTTCTTGATACTGACAACAAACGTTACTATTTTCTAAATTATTTCACCGCAAGCAAGGCGATAAGGCCACTAAGACGCAAAGGGTTACTGAAAGGAAAAAAATGAGAAGACTTTTTTTTAGGAGAATGGACAATAAAAGGTCATCATTTAGGAAGACAGAAAATGGTGATTTTTGAAGATTTTAGGTTACATGGAAGCAAGAACCCAGAAGAGAGTTCCACAAGCGAGAAGTGTGAGAAAAGAAACTATTAGAATAGAACTTACGGTTACAACAGTAAAACGGTGAGACCTAGTTGCCAATTTGGTAGTACGCTTAAATTCGTGCAGTTGGGGTGCCAAGGATGAAAACTCATCAGAACAATTGCCATGAGAATATTTATAGAAAAGTCATCGGGAGCCACTTTATGGCTGTGAGAAAGCGACTGAAGTCGAGATGTCAGGTTATAAACGATAACATTACAGACCCTTCTTTAAATTTTGTCTAGAATCTCAAGATATATAGCAGAAGCATCAGACCAGCTATAACAGCAATATTCAGTACAGAGATGAATGATAGATTTATAAATGTGCAAGATGGACTCTGACGAGAAGAAATTGTCTGGTCCGATACGCTGAATCAACTTTCTTAGCAGTAGACCGAGCAAGTGATTCAATATGATCATTCCACTTCATGTCAGTGGAAAACATGCGCCCAAGGAAGCGCAAATAACTGCTCTCCTATAGATTAGCATTACCCATGAATGATAGAAAGCACAAGAATCATCTGTGGTGATTAAATGATAGCACTTTTTATTTGGAGGCGTTAAAATTTACAAGCCATTACTTGCCCCAGTTATACACTAATTGGAGTTCCTTTCTGAGAGCAGCTGCCATTTTTACTCTACAAACCCCAAGTACAGTTTTAATCCTTTTAATAATTGACAAATTATACATTTCTGATGACTATTAAAATATATTTAAGGACCAAGTACTTCAGTTTTTGATCAGGTATTTGCTTTATTAAATTCTAACAATAAACCTATAAACTGAGCATTGAAAATCATTAAGAAATGGATGGTCAATTGTTTGGAATTATGTGACGCTGACAGAATAAGGCTGTTACATGTGTGGTGTATGCATCACTAATGATTTTTTTTACTAAAGAAATGCATTGAAAATCAGTTAGAACGGGATTGTGAGTTGTTAGGAATTATGTGCTACTGATAGAGTAGGATTGTTACATACATAATGTAAATGTATCATTAATGCTTTTACTATAGAATTGCATAAAACAGTAAGAAAGCGATTGTCAGTCATCAGGAAGTAATACAAGCAGTAATGATAAACAGTTCTATTATAGGTATTATGTAAATGAATTGTTAATAATTGTATTATAGATAAATATGAAAAATTAGGGAAAAGCAGATTCTGAATAATCAGAGATTAAGATTAATGTTCAGGATTAAGCGGTGCTGACAGAAAAGCGTCGTTATATGCAAAAAAACTGTATTGCTAATGATTTTTTCTATAGAAACTCTGGCATTACTTGAGAAAACTGGTCCACTCGTAAAAAACATTAGGAATATTTTTGGGGGATTATTTTTGTAGATTAGTATTAATTAAGTCACAACAATTTTTAGAATCGAAAAATATTGATTTTTATCGATTTTAAAAGTGAGGTCCTATTAACATTATACATACAGTGTCAAATCGATCCTTGACTTCATAATCGCATCTGTACTTACTTTTTTTATTTACAAATGTCAGGTTTGAAATTGTGCTTACGTCATTGATAAGTGTGTAATATTGATGTTGTCCCTTTTCAAAACTCATTTGAATATTTTGAACTACCACCACTTCTAAAATGATAAAACTATTTTTTGTGGTCAGGGCAAGATCCAATGATTAATAATCTACAAATTAAATGCTCAAAAATATTTTCCTACATTTTATGAGCGGACCAGTTAACCTGTGCCGAAAATCTTTGAAAATAATTTTACTAAAGAAATATATTGTAACAGCAGCCTTGTGCCACATCTAAGCTACTCTTAGTAAATCACCAGATATATATTGTAACTGATTTTACTAGCGAAATAAATGGCTGCCAGTGATCAGGAATTAGTGTAAGCGTTAATGATACTAAGTGTTAATAATAGGTCTAATCCTTGTATATTATTTTGTGATTTACTTTATGTATTTTCTTTGGAATGTTTTACATTCCTAATCTCAGCCAACAGGTGAGCGCATTTTCCTTCACCTCTTCCCAAAATAGTTCACACACACACACACACGGTTTATCTCAATAACTAACTTCCCTGTAAATTTCTAATTCTCAAACCATCAAGTATTTTTTTTCTTCATCGCTATCTTCGTTTGGCAGAACCCACCAAATCCTCACTCAACAGCACCAAAGATAGTCGAGTCTTCAACCTGAGCCTCCACTCGCGCCCGCTCAACAAAACTAACTGCCAAAGCTGATTTCAACACACCTCTTCCCACATCTCCAGCCACCTTCTCAACAAAATATCACTTCCCCTCACCTGCCCATCCCAAAAACCCATTCTAATTCCAGGCAGAATCAACATAGTCGATGAGGCTTTGGGGTTGTAAAGAAAATGGCTAATTCGCAGGTAAGCGAGTGAGAGAGGGGTGATTGCCATAGTTCCCGCTGCCTGTCGGCTTCGTGCCCGTCTCGTCTCTCTCCGTCGACATTTCTGCCCAAAAGTGGAGAAGATTTCCGACCGTTTCTTTGCTCTTCAACAACGCTATCACTAACATTTAAAAGCAAGCCCAAACATGTTTTACCCAACTGGATTCCTTCCTTCCTTCTTTCACTTCCTAAATTCATTTCTTTATTTCCTTCTTTTTTACCCTCATTTTATTCCTTACATTAATTCAGACGTCAATCTCTTTCTTTCACTGTTATTTTCGTTTTCTTTTTTATTTAATTCTTAGCCAACTTAATTTCTTTATTGTTTGTTGGTCTTTTCAATGAATTCCTTCCACCTATTTTCATTAATTTTCTTTCATTTCCTTAAACCCTTCCTTCATTTTTTTATTTCTTTTTCTTTCATCTTTTTATGTTTCCTTTTCCCCTTTCTTTCTTCATCTTTCCTTTTCATCTTTCTTTCTTTCTTTCTTCATCTTTCTTTTTTTATTCATATTTCCTTTATCTTTCTTTCTTCATATTTCTTTTTTCTTCATATTTCTTAATCTTCCTTTCGTCATATTTCCTCCTTTCTTTCTTCATATTTCTTTCTTTTTTCATTCATATTTATTTTTTCTTTCTTTCTTCATTTATATTTCTTTCTTCTTCATAATTCTTTCTTTTTTCTTTATAATTCTTTCTTTCTTTCTTCATTCATATTTCTTTTTTCCTAATTCATATTTCTTTCTTTCTCATACATATTTCTTTCTTTCTTCATTCATATTTCTTTTTTCTTCATTCAAATTTCTTTTGTCTTCATTCATATTTCTTTTTTTCTCATTCATATTTCTTTCTTTCTTTCTTTCTTTCTTTCTTCAGTCATATTTCTTTCTTTTTTTCAGTCCTATTTCTTCTTTTTCATTCATATTTCTGTCTTTCTTCATCTTTCTTTTGTCATTTTTTCATCTTTCTTTTTTATCTTTCATCCTTTCTTCCTTACCTCATGACGCTCTGGTATTTTTCTTTTGTTCTCCATTTGAGCCCCCACGAAAAGACCCCCACCTCAATTCCTACGAGAGATTCCATCCTCTTCCGCTGTCCTAATATCCTTCCAACGCTCGATCTAATTTCTTTCTTTTTTCTCCTTCGCCTACATAGCCGGCTACACCTGACACCATCTTTTGATTGAAGGCATCTCCATATTTCTCCACTTTTTTTTTCTTATGTCTTTCCTCCTCATTCCTCCTCTCTTTTCCGTCTAGGAATCTTTCGCTTCTCCCGCGTCCTTTTGCAGCGTCTTTCTCTTCACCATTTTTTTCACTTTGCCGACCGTCACTGAGTGACACTTGTCGGTAGGCATGTCGAAGTAGCAATGTGGCGAGAAACAGCCAGAAATGGAATGACACCACCGTACAGAAATAAGGCACATGGTACCAGACACCTGCAGGTAAAAATATGTACGTATGAATGTATGGAAGAACAGCGATAAACAGAAATGATTGATGAACACTTAACTGATGAGCTGACGACATTCTGAAAGCAGCCGAAAATTGCAAGACCGACAAAGAAAAAATAAGACCTAACGATATATTACCAAATTAGCTAGCCTACTTGAGAATGCGCGCAAATCATTATTTTTTTTTTATTATATTTTATTTCAAATACCCGGATATTAAAAAAAAGTAAACTTCTTTGGTGGCCATGTGAGAGATACTCTAACAACATAAAAGAATTTATGTTACGCCGCGGACTGACCACTCACTGACCATTTCGCCAGTATAGTGATTTTCCAAATGTAGCTTAGATTTGGCACGAGGCTGAAAAAATAGGGCACCTAGTGAGGATCGAACTTACTACTCAGTCGTAAATGTTCTAGCGAGACAAGCTTGCTAACCATTACATCGCCTCGAGATGCCAGTATATAACGAGTTGCACTGTCCCCACATTTGCTTTCTGAATGTTGAATAAAGCTGAATATAAATATGCATTATTTTATTGCACTTTTTTATCTTGCTTCGCAGATATCGCTCCCCACCCCGAAAAAAATCGAAGGCCTGTAACAATTCTGCGTTGAGGAAGACTATCGCTGCCATTTTCCAAATGACGATTAAAATATTTTTTAAATAAAAAAAAAAACAAAAAACTTTTTAGACCTAACGCTATTGTACATTTAATAGACTGCAGACTAACGGAGCAGGAAGTTTTAATGAAAATAGAAGCATAAAAGAGAATTACACATAAAATTAGAAAGAAACAGTTCAAATTCCTGGGATACATAATGAGAAAAAAAGGTCTGAAAAATTGAGCACTCACGAGACATATTAAAAACACGAGTGTTACAAGAACCAAGTCGTCTGTTTTTAACCTTGGTTTAGACTTACTCTGCCTATGTACTCTTTGCATTTTCTAGAACTCTCTACTAACGTATATATTCGATCCGAATGTGCGACAGTTTATACAAAATGAAAAAAAATGCACTCCTCACTGGTCTTTTGAACAGGAGTAGAGATTTATCCATTGTTTTGGGTTTCTTTTAAATTCTACGTCATCTATATTCTTTTAATTTCTCCGCTTAAACTCTGAAATTTCATTTACTATTTATTTACTTTTTTCTTCAATAGGAGTAGATAGGTTCTCCTATCGCCTGGTTCACACTCTCCCCGGTATTTTGAATTGGAGTAGTAGTTTATTGCTTGTTTATTGTTTAGGATTGGGTTTACGATTCCTTCTAAAGTTTTCTCATTCTCTTTCACGCCCAGTAACCCCTTGCGTCATAGCGGCATTTCGCCTTGCTTGGGGTGAATTGATTAATATATATATATATATATATATATATATATATATATATATGCGTGTGTGTGTGTGTGTGCGTATGTGTGTGTGTGTGTGTGCGTGCGTGCGTGTGTGTGTGTGTGGACACATTGTACTTTATATATGTGGATATATATTAATGAAGATATCTGTATGTACATCAACAGTATGCATTATCGCTTTATGTCAAACGAAAATGATGTTAGTAAATACAATGTGAGTAATGTTGGCGCCCAGCTTAGTACGATGTTTAGAAAATCGTCTCGTAGACCCATTCGATAGTGTAGAGAAAACGGTGGATTTATCCAAAGTAATTCCCTTTTAACAAATGCGTATCTACAATGGCTTCACTTCTGAATTACACATGAAATGGAGAACAAGAACCTGTGAGTGATAAATTATTTTCCACTCTGCAACGCCTTTCCTCACATACGAAATGTTGCCAGTCCCTCGCTACTATTTCTACAGCAAACATTCCTCAGTTCTACCAGTTCAGACCGACACAGCTGGGACTCGTCATGTCACGTACACAGCGTCAAATCATTCTCATTCCTTTCGTATTTATTCGGTAAGAACGAAGTTTTACTAAAACAACTTCTTCTCCAGAACTGTTATTTTGTGGAACAGACTCCCGAGAGAATGCTTCCTCGACCACTACAATGTTAACCTCTTCAAATGTAGAGTCAACCGTTATCTATCCTGCACATCCTCATTATATGTTCCTCTTCCTCTTTCCTTTACGCCCTTATAACAATATAATTCAGTAAACCACTAACTTGAGTGACTCTTGGGGCTTTGTATTGGGTGAACAACAGATAAAAAAAAAAATCTTGCAACTTTAAACCAATTTTTGGCCAGAGTATTTCCATTCTAAGTGACAGTTTTAAGCACATCAGGTGTATTTATAAAATGATGATTAACGAAATATATGACACTCAAATAAGAAGAAACATCAGCAGAATTTTTTTTGGCAAATCTACTTTCCTTTTCTCATTTTTCCCGTCCATTTGTTTCATTTTTCTTTAATTGTCCGTTTACTCTCTTCTACTTAAAAAGAAGCCACCCACAAAGCGTACCCACTGACATGCAACATTAACATACGTTATTTTGCTGTATTGTCAGTTACCAGACGATAGACGGAATCCATGGGAAATTCAACGCCGGTCACGTGATTTACGTTTAGTCTGACGTCACAATCAGAGTTACGCTGAACGCTGGTGGTAGGAGGACGTTCGTACATCGGCACAGCAAGCGGGATTTACTGAATGATAATGCCGTCATTTTCTTTTGGGGAAGGAGAGAGCGCATATGCGTAAGTGCGTGATGGAAAAACTATTCTGCTTCTTTCTGACCTCAATTAGAGGAAAATCAACAGGATTTTTTTTACCACGATTTAGACCTTTATCCTCACGTGATGGTGAACAGGAGCGTCTCGCGGGCCAATTTGCAAGTGTAGTCATTTCGATTCTGACAGGGTACCGTAGTATTTTGACCTTGTGTCAGACTATGATTGGTCGCATGCCATATCATGATGATTAGCAAGCTTGCCTTTCTGACATTCGCTAGTGTAGTTGTGAGTTTGTTCCCCGCTGCGTGCCCTGGTACTGTGGTCTTGTGCCGTTCGAAGCTCAGCTTATTAAATATGGATAGAGTGTCTCGCCATGGGGTAATGGGTAACAAAACAGACATGCTGATCATTTCTACTGGGTTGCGAGTTTGATCTTCACTAGGTGCCACGTACATGTCCTAAACTAAGTTAATTTTAGTAAATATCGTTAGGACATCTTACGGTTGACCAATGCTTAGTGAGCTAGCCTCGTTGACTATTACAAGTGATTTCGATCCTTATTGGGCACCCCACACTTGCGACCTTGAGCCAAAATAAACTCAGAATAAGAACAACCAATTGGTTAGCCATTTTTCGTTTTTGGATGAAGCAACCCAAAATTAGACTAATGACTAGTGCATCGTATATAACAACATCCCATTGTACAAACAGGAAGTACATCAGAGTTACAACTATGAGAATATATTAAGGAAGACGATTATTTTGGGATGACCTATTATAAGTTGTGACTTTAGGCCGTGTACAAAATCGAATTGTCATGCGGATTTATGCACACAAAAAAAGAAAGATCACGTGCCACATTTGGCCATCATAATAATAATAACGAAAATCAGGGTCCATATCAATAATGATATTCTCTTCTTCGTTGGTTTTATCCCAACATTTCAGTCGATATATTCTTCAGTATTCCTCAGTAAGAAGGAATTCCTAATATAGACCATTATGGATTTGAACGTCAGAAACTCCTCGAGATAGTGCCGGTCCTGTTTTTTTTTGTAATTAGACTAAAAAGAATGAAATGAAAAGGAAAAAAAAAAAAAAAAAAAAAAAAAAAAAAACGTGTTCATATACCGAGTTGTGTGTTCTCCAGTATATCAAAAAAATCTCCGAAGTATTTATTGAATCAATACCAGTATAGTTTTTCTTTATAATGGAATATACAGTCGACAAGAAAGCTGGCGTAAGCTAATAGAAATCTTGGGAAAAATCATTTGTGATTGAACAGTGATGCTATAAATTATTTATTATATAAAATATTTTGTGAAAATGAAACTTTTGCTTCAATCTAATATAACTAGAACGTCACCAGAACAACATGATCTTCTCAAATGAAGGAGAGTGTTCTCAGTTTTTTAATTTTTATGAATTCAAGACTAACTTCGAAAGTTCCATTGCTAAGAACTTGTATCTAAAAGCATTAAATGTTTTGAATGGGCAATTAATACAAAACAAAATGCATGGCCAATCAATACTGAACAAATTACATGGTTAATCAATACAGAACAAAGTGTTCGACGACCACTTTTATTTTAAAACGGCGTAACATTTAGTTGTCATCTTGTTTATCAGTTTGCTCTTTGTTAGTCTTTTAGGGAAAACCTCAAGTAGCTTTTCAGCGTAGCTCAAAACCGAGACGCTTCAGTGTAGTGTAATGAAAAGATGGTCTAGTCAGCCCAGCTTTGATAAAAAAAAAAAAACAAAAAAAACAAAGCAAAACAAAAAAACAAACAAAAAAACAAACAAAAAAAAACATCCAGACAACAACTATCAATGCTTGGCGGAAAGAATAAAATGGCTACGGAAGAAGGGTGAAATTAAAGAATTATGAGGACAAGAATTTAATAAAGTTACGTCAAACAGTCATGACCCGATAATTTGCAGAGAAGACAATTATGGTTGAATATGCATGCGTATAATATGAGCGAGTGAGAGATTACAATAATTAAAGCGGGTTTTGAATTTCAGGTTATTCAAGCTATTGCAAAAAATAAAAATAATTTCTTGATCAAAATGTCAATAACTGAAGAAACCAAAAGTTTCGTTTGCGCCATTATTCGTATTTGTTAATTTGTTGGCCGAGTTACTTTGTATTGTTACTTAGAATAGAATCACAAACCTCTCGACAGTCAGTCTAATCTTTTTATTTATACAAGAGGAAAACAAGCTGCCAAAATAAAATAGTCCAAATAAATACATAAATAAGCCAAGCCAACGTTAGTACGTCAAACTACGGCGTTTCGTCGGTTCATTCACCAGGCGTACATCACAAGTACACGTAACCTGTTTCTATTCCGCAAATCGTAACATGAGCTACAAAAACAAATCTACCCTTGACGTGTGATGAAAGAAGTGGAAATCCCCAGAGCAACGTCACTTGCGTTGGAGATGAGGAGGGGTGGAAATACGGCGGCATACCCGACCTGAATTGAACGTCGCAAACGCGCATGTTGCTTTATTTTTTGTTTTTTCTACATTTTTTTTTTGCTTCTTACGCCGCCGCCGCCTGACGCCGAGGCAAGAGGCCAACGTACTCGTTGGTAACACGGCTCACGTGATGATAAAGAAAGAAAAGGGTGAAACGGAAAAGAGAAATGATAAAACCAGGAAGAGTAAACGTGAACGAGAAAGACAACGAAAAACGTCAGACACGTGATCGCGATGTACGTGACGTCATGGACGCAAAACTGGAGAAAAGTGTGGAGATTATTTCGTCTTGTCAGCTGTTAGAGAAATAACAGAAATAGATGATGAGAGGTTACGGAGGTTGGGTAGGTGATGCTAAAATAAGAAAGAAAGAAAACGAGAATAGATATGATGACGCTTTAGAATTGAGTTGCATGAAAACGTTGGTTTAATTTTATTTGCGTACGTGCGCTTCCTGAAAACTAAAACACTATTGTTTATTTTTTTGTTACATTTTCTACTTTCTCTCTCCCTCTGCTTCGTTATCTTCTTTCTTTCTTTCTTTCCTTCTTCATAACTTACGCTTCAGACTCTTTGCTTTCTATTATTTTACTTTATTCTGTTATCTTTCTAGCTTGATTGCTTTATTATTTTATTCTTTCTTTCTTTCTTTACTCGTCTTCTACAGATTCATTTTACCCACTCTTACTTATCCTTCCAATTATGCCCGGTTTCTTTCTTTCTTTCTTTCTTTCTTTCTTTCTTTCACACACGCTGTCCTTTCTTTCTCTCTCACACTCTCCTTCTTTCTTCCTCTCTTTCTCACACACACCTTCTTTTTCTCTCATACACATTCTCCTTCTTTCTTTCTCTCTCAACTCCTTTCTTTCTCTCATACTCTTCTTTCTTTCTCTCTCTCTTGTCTCTCTCTCACACACACTCTACTTCTTTTTTACTCTCTTACACACTCCTTTCTTTCTTTATCTCACACACTCTCCTTTCTTTCTTTCTATCGCACACTCTCCTTTCTTTTTTCCTCTCTCTCTCTCTCTCACACAAACACACACACACACATTCTTACTTCCTTCCCCTCTCTCTCATTCACACACACACACACACACACACACACACACACACACACACACACACACATTCTTTCTTCCTTCCTCTCTTTCTCTCTCTCTCTCTCACACATACACACACACTCCTTTCTTTAAACGAGCGTTAGAGAAGCCGCATCATTCACATTTCTGGTTTTCCTCTCTTTTCCATTCAACACTCTAACACCTCTTCCACAAACCTCCGTTTCAGCCATGATGCTCTTCGTTCGCCATTATCTCGGTAGAGCCAACTGTTGGGAGAGTTTACGTTCGGCCACGTGACATTTCAAACGTAATTTTACGTGCAATTTCTCCACCTTTTTCCACACACACACACACACACACACACACACACACACACACACAGACACACACACACTCTTTTTTTCCACTGATCAACACAAAAGTGACGTCTGAGGTATGAAAAGCGCTATTTTAATTACAATTGCCAACAGGCAAAGTACGGGAATTTGAGAACAAATTGATGTATGCACATGCGCAAACATATTAATCGCATGAATACATACAAACAAGCAAATATTATTCGGGACCAACAGACGTATACGTTTTCACATACAACCTAATACACGGAAACCGCTGAGGTTTGTCACCGTCAAGGTTGAAAATGGGTGTAGCAGGTTTTTACAGGCATTTGGGAAAGTGGTTTGTCCAAGTGGTTCCTAAGCCATTGTCTTTTTCATTAACTACTGTAGCACGCCAGGAACGAGATGTTTTGTTATGGTATCTAGAGATGAGGCAGAAAGAAGTGTATATATGCCCTCGCTAAGAGAATTAGTGTATATATGTCCCATTCAGGAGTATTAGTGTATATACGCCCCAGCCAGGGGTATTAGTGTATATATGCCCCAGTCAAGAGAATTATCGTATATATACTCTCGCCAAGATCATTGGTGTTTTTATCCTACCAAGAGCATCAGTGTATATATATCCTCGCCAAAAGTATTAGTGTATATATGTCCGCGCCAAAATTATTAGTGTATATATATATATATATATATATATATATATCCGTGCCAAAATTATTAGATTATATATGTCCTCACCAAGAGCATTAATATTTATCAGCCATCGCGTAGAGCGTTAATGTATATATGTCCTAGTCAAAAGCATTATAACTAGGTTAACATAAACAGATTATAGCCGAAATTCGAACTCGATTTATTGATTGCTTTTTCCGGGCCGATAGCCGTCAAACAATCTCGCTACTCCAGCACACTGACACTTACGTTTTAAAGGTAATTTTTAGACTAACGTATAAAAGCAAAATGTCTCGTATATAAATAGATAAAACATAGTTTTATGTATATACCGTATGTGATTAAATCAGAAACAATTTATAAATTTAACATGTTTTGCTATTTAATTGACAGTTTGGAAGTTATGTTTCAAAATTTAAATTCTATGTTATTTTGTTTTCATTATACACAACGGGCATGGATTTAACATCAAATGCAAACTATTATATGATGCATATCTTGTGATGACCACACGATCTTACTTTTTGGTGAACCGTTGGCCTCAAATAATAATTTAAAAATACTTTTTTCCCGCTATGTGTTAATTGTCAATCACAAATCAATTTACGAGCCTCACGCCATCAAATTTGTTCATTCTAAGAAATTAACTTGGTCGACATTTTGTCAATAAGATCAGAAAAAAACTGTAAGTCTGGTCACCGGTTATTTCGAATAAAAGTGCACACGTAGATATCTACAAGCAAACTTATTCATTCATTTTCTTATTTTTTTAAAAATTTCTTTCTGTCGAGATACACAGCAATTAAATTTTACTGCATGTTTTCGCACTGTCGGCGTGAGACAAACATTACTTTGCACATAGACCAAATTGTTTATTGACTTCATATATGTTGTGACCAAGTAAATGGTTAAAGAAATAACAAAAAAAGTGTTACAGATATATTATATATCATACAGTAAGTACAACAGAAGAGTATTATACGACTAGTGAGTGTTTATCGGATGACCCAGCGCTCAATTTATTCCACTGTTACCCACCTCCCAAGGCCCTCTCTCACCTACTAATCTTATAGTAGGCGGAAGAGTCCAACATAGACTCTTTAAAGGGAGGACACCACAACAATATATAATACATACACAAGGGAGTTTACCAGTATATTCTGTTATATATATATATATATATATATATATATATATAATATGTAAGCAAGAGAGGTTAAACCCCAATTTCTAATTACAACATTGTAACTTATAAGCTTGTATTTCTCAAAGTTAGTAACTTGAACGTTTGTAAAAAAAAGGTGCGCCTGTACTCACTATCGAGTTCTTTCAAGGGGACTGGAAGAACTGAAAATAGAAGAAAGTAAACTTCAGAAAGACATTTGAAAATTATAATTAAGACAAAAAAGAAATAACCAAAGTAAAATCGACATTACTGTATCTCCACCGAGCGGACCCTCTACTTCCACCACGTCGAAGTACCCCGACCATTAATAGAATAAATCTGAACAACAAGCGGACCACTATCATCACTGAGTGGACCCTCAATTTTCACCTATTGCAATGAACGGGTGTTCTCTCAGAGGGATCACGTTCCTTGAGCGCCTACTGAGACTTAAGCTTAACCAAGACCTCAAATGGAATTCGTACCATACGATCCATCGCCTGAGATACTGGAAAAATGGTCGGTTCCCTAAAACGCCCCTGTAAGTACCTGACTATCTTCTGCTTTTGCAAGAGACAGATCAGGCCCAAAATGGAGTACTGCTGCCATTTGTATGCACACGACGACTCTTCACTTTCCAGTCTCGAGAGTCTAAAAGCGTTTCTGCGTCCTTGTGGATAATGAATTACTATCCACCCTACAACCACTTTCCCACAGACGAAACATCACAAGCCTCTCGCTGCTCTCTCGCTATTTCCATGGAAAGTGTTCAGACGAACTACATTCTTTAGTTTCACCAGTTCTGACCTTCACGACTAAGACTCGCCATGGCGCACACATTGTAGCGAATCATTCTCATTCTCTTCGTATTTCATCGGTGAGATGTAAGTTCTTCCCACGAACAGCTGCTTTGTAGAACCAAAGAGGATGCTTTCCCGATCACTACAACATTAATCTGTTCAAGTCTGGGACTAAAGGTTATCTTCCTCACACATCCCCATAAATTGTGCCTCTTACTCTGTAACATTCTACCTCGAGTGGCTCTTGTGTCTTGTACATCATTGTAAAACAACAACAACAACACATTGAGAATATTTTATGTGTACTGTCCCTTCAGGGCGTGCGGGATCATGGCGCTGCAAATCTTCCTCGCCTTTATCGTTCAAAGCAATGTTTGTCTCCTTACTATCCCAGTCCATGTTCTGCTATCCAATTAGACAAGCTCGTTAAGTAGGTTACTCACTATTTCTTTCTGTCCCTTTTGCTTTCAATAGTGTGAGTGTCAAATTCTCCAAGCTCTATCTCCTCATTATGTGACCGAGAAATTTTAACTGTCTCTTTCTGATGCTATATTGGTTGATTTTGTTTAGCCGCATATAATCTAAATATTTTCAACACAATTTTATGGTTTCAACTAAATATATTTTCAATGTAATTGTATGCATTTTAAGTAAATATATTTCTAACGCAATTCATCAACTACAGATAATATGCATTGTTGGTCATTTTACTATAAATATGTATTGTTGTTCATTTTTTATATAAAAATGTATTGCTGGTATTTTTACTATAAAGACGTATTTTTATACTTTCATAGATTTTTTTTGGGGGGGGCACTATTTGTCCATAGCTGGGACTCTAACAGTTGATACTACCCCGGGTCAGGGTGAATCTGGGAACAACAGTAATTAAAAGGTGGTTCTATGCCCCTGAAAACCTCTAATATCCCGATCAGAGGCCTTGCAACCAGATGTAGTTTATCATCATACCCAGGACTACTGATGCTATGCGCAAGTGTGTTTCGTTGAAAATATGTTCCTGGTATTCTAAGCATTTTTCTGTAGATCAACATTGCAAAAGTGGTAATGGATAGGTCTGTTAAATAGGGGGAAAAGACAGGATCACAGTGCCTAATAATCATCGGATAGGCTCCATTCTATTCACCACTGCAGGTCAAAATGTTTACAACTATTGATGGATCCCTTTCAGATTCTAACAATAATACTATGCCGTGATGATCAGACGAGCCTACAAAAGGCTGTAATATATTAATTAATTACAATACGGCCAAACCGTCTGGAGGATTTTATAAGGGCTTGAAGGTTTGGTTTGAGGAAAGCAAATTTATCGAACCTCTGATTATCATACAGGAATCACATTTTATCTATAGTAAGAACACGAGCAATGTAAAAAAAAGCATATCCTGCGGTAGGATAATGCAAGGCTTGGTAAACCATCCGGCAAAAACTGAAGTTAGGCATCGAGATCTGGTCCACTTTCCTTACTTAACGGGCTTATCGATTATCACTTTTTCCAGGCCCTAAATTCATATATGCACCAGCAAGTATAGATCGATCAGAAACAGGCCAGGAATGGCATTAAGACCTAAGTGTTTTTTACGTGATAAAATAAATTGATTGACGTTATGTCTATTTTAATTCAGTTTACTTTGATTAATAAAATTGTGCTTGAACTGAGTTACGACATTTTAAAGTTTACAGTTCACAACAGCCATTTATTTTGTTTCTACCTGATATGTCTACACGGATTTTATTTCATCTCCAAAACTTCGGCATTACATTCTGAATAATGTTTGTGGCAGGTAAGACCAGAAGTAACTATGACATTGTTGTGCTATCATACATTCCGTGTGTCTGAGTCAACCAATGGTACCATAGCCATACGTGGTGAACCAGCAAAGCAAGTAAACAAAAAAAATCTACTCATCTATACATGCCTGCGAACGTCTGTGTGAGTGAAAGCTAGAGTGATTGAGAGAATGAAATGAACGAAAAAGTGAGTGAGTGAATAATTGAGCGAGTGAAAGAATGAAGGAGTGAGTGAGAATGATAAAGAGGGAGAGATTGTGTGAGAGTGACAGAGAAGAAAGAACATTTTTAATATACTGGTGTTTCATTTGCGTAGGTGTGACTGTATATGAGCTGAGAATTAGCAGTGTTCTTCTGTTTATGCCAATGTGTGTATACGTGCATCTGCATGTATTTCGAGACATCTTTACACAGAACGCTGCAGCCGAAAAGTCACATGATTAGCACTGATGTATATTAAGGCATCTTTTAAGTGAAAGTTAACCTCGTGTGTTCCTTTCTTCCTCTTTCTTTCTTTCTTTCTTGTCTACTCCTCTTTTTTCCTCCTCCGCTTTTATTTTTTCTCCACTTCCTCTTCCTCATCATTTTCTTCCTTCTCTTCATGTTCTTCCCCTCCTCGTCCCTTCCCCTCCGCCTTCTACTCTTCTGCTTCCGTTTCTTTTCCTTCTTTTTTTCTTTCTTTTCCACTTCTTACTTTTCTTCTACCTCCTATTTTCTTACTCCTTTTTTCCTCTTTGATAGCTTCCTCTTTCATCTTTCTCCTCTTCCACCTTATTTTCTTCCTCATCCTTTTCCTCATCCCTATTTTCGTTCTTTTAGTTTTTCTGTAATCACGTCTATTAATGCTATTGCTACAACAATGTGCTTCTTGTTTTATTTTCTCTCAGAAAAATTGTACTAAAGTTATTATAAACAATAAGAATAATATCCTAAAGAAGAAGAAAATTTGTTAGTGGGTTTCGTCGTTTCAGCAAAGCACAGAGTAAAATTGAAAGAGAGCAAAAAGCTGGTAAAATATCAAAGTCTTTCAAGAGAAACGTAAACCTTGCAGAACACGTGTCCATCATTTTTAACGCACTTGGAATAATTCCATAGTGCCTTGTAAATATTGGGAATTCGAGAAACCATCGAATTCATTTAAAAGACAGCATTACGAAAATCAGGTAAGATAATAAAGAGATTGCTGGGACATTGTGGAAACCAGTTTTCGCTTGATCAACACAGAATAATAATATCCAGACACTAATAATATTAAATTCAACGAATAGCAAATAATAATAATAATAATGATATATTCAACAAAGTAGCGTCGCCAAAGAACACGTCTCTTATATTTGGTAATATAGCGTGATTAAAGGTGGACACGACATATCGTGGACCACATGACCAGCTAAGAACACGATACGTCGCCAGACGCTGATGTGTATTTGGTATCCGCTTTCAAATTCTTTTCTTCTTTTTTTTAAGCGGCTTGCACTTTGCATACAATTTGAAATATGTGAGCTATGTCTTTTTTTTTTGTGTTTAACATACAAAAAAAAAAAAAAAAACGTAACAAAATTTTAGGATAATTTGTACTGTGGTGCCATCTAGTCATTCTTTTACTACACTTGACACCGTAGCTGTTTAGAATAAAATAACAAAAATATACACAGTAAAACTTATTATAAACTTTTAATATTAGAAATTAAGTAAAAACCGAACAGTTAAAGCTATGATGAATAGAATCAGCTAATCGAGTTCAAACTTCAGTTAGGATAGTTAGCTCTTGGAAAAGGTATGAAACAACACATCACCGCATCCCTGAGTAAAGAGTTGTAAGGCAGTCCATCTGGTCTCATCAGACTAGTGTCCTCACAAAAACTCAAATTGCTATTGAAATGAAAGTATTTTCACTGGTGCAAAGGAGTTAAAAGAATCGGACATATTAAAATAGCAATTTATAATTATGGTAGTCATAAACATATATCACGTAATCAGCACAATATTGTAAAATATGAACAATTTGGCGCTATACAATCTTCCCAAATATCAGTACATTTTCATGCTTGCAGAATCTATAGCACTCTAGTGATATAAATAACGCCAGAGACGAGCTAAATATAGAGAGTCTATTACGCAACTCTCAGACAAGAGATTGACAGATTTTTTGACATCATTTCCTCGTGAAACCTTCTCATAGGCGTGCAAGAACAACAAATTGCATCCGATATCATGTAATCCTCTGCACCACACAATGCTAGGCTATGGGGATCTCCTTAGTAGGCCTAGTATAAAAAATAAATATGATATGGGTGCCGCTAATAAACAATGAAAAAGGACCGCAGGTCTTCAACAGAAGCAGCAGCAGCTGTAATAAAAAAAGAAGCTTCAGTGAGTTCAGTTAAGCATGAGAAGCGGCAGTAGCAGCACTCATCAGCAGACGGGTTAGGTTTAAGGCTCCAACTTCTCCAGTTAAAATTGTCCCATGAGTATATTGAAGCGTTGGTTCATGAATTTGATGACAATAATTGTGAGTTCAGTCCCTGGACCGGGCAGTGTGTACTTGGCCTCAGTGGAAACAGGGTGAGCAATAACTGAGTATTACTGTAGATAAGAACTAGACGAAATATCCTTAGACATGCGAAATGGGGAGAGAAAAATCTACCCCCATAGATTAAATAAAGGGTTCGAAATACACATGATGAAGGCCGTGGTGGTGGGGGACAATGGTGGAAATATTGTGATAACTTCGATGCTGGCATGGGCTTCTTTTAGAATGCTCATCGTCTCGGTTCGATTAGGTGATGTGATCTTGCATTTACGAATACCTTCAGCAGCACAGAATCTTTTTGCGCGTGCGTGCGTGTCTCTCTGCGCGCGCGTGTGTGTGTGTGTGTGTGTGTGTGTGTGTGTGTGTGTGTGGAGTTACCACCGCTATCTAATTCAACTCCTCCAAGCTTTTCATTTACGTTTAGCCATTTTCGTCGTGAAAATAAACAGTGTCACTGTTTTTAGTTTTACTTCAGTCATTTATGTGCCATGCGTGATACATGCTTAGGCGATCATGTATCTTTCGATACATGACTGACGAAGTACATTTTTTTCCCACAGTAAGTTGCCATTTCTTTCTGCGGTAGACCAGTTGCCATCCAAGGCTATAGATCCCGGTCTGTCCTGCTATTTACCCATAGCTGGGGGGGAGAAGAAGAGGATTCATACCTGCCCAAGGGCATTAGCACGTAAGTGAATGTAATAGATTCGACTGGAATTCGAACTCGGCCCCGAGCCGCTATCTATTACTCCACTAGTTGTACTTAGGATGGGGAAATAAAATAAGGGTACTGCTTTGGCAAGGTATCTTTGTTTAGGCGGCTCAGGAGCATGTATTTTGGGTTATAACTTATTACAATGTATTTTGCCCTTTAACCGCTCTAGTTCCTGTTCATATTCACTTTTACATTTTGGCATAACAGCTGCGAACGCCTGTTTTTTCTTCAACTGAATATTACTCATCAGAGTCACGCTTCCATCTTCTTTTCTCCGCTCTAACATTTAAATTATTTTTGAAATAACGATGAAAAAATGCTACATCACATGATTAAAACATTATCTTGATTTATGACTCTAAGGAAATTTTAGAATTGATTAATTATAATTTGAACGAAGTTTTAGAAACTGTGTCAAGCCAGTTTCACAATTTTAAATGATAATTTTAAAAAAAATTGAAATTGTTTATAAGAAGTTTCCACGAAAATAAATAATCGGGCGGGTGTTGGAATTTTTGAAAAACAAATAAGCGAGGTGGGATAGGATTATTGCAGATTCGAAAAGAATATAAAGATAGATCATAATAGGAGTCATGTACTTTCTCGAGCTGCACAAGAAGCCGACCATTTTTCCAGCATCTTTAGCGATTAATTGTACATATAAATTTAAGGTCTGGTGAGAGCTTGAGTCTTAGACGTTCAAGATAAAGAGCCTCATCGAGAGTATAACCACTCATTATGACTGGAGAAAATTCAGGGTCTTTGAAGATGGTAAAACATTACTAGCTTAGTTTTGAAGGTATTGAATATTACAAACTAGTTACCACCCTATTAGAGCAAGGTCATAGGTAAGATTAGCTGCTAGACTGATCTAGATTTTTGAAGGTGCGCCCATAAACACTAATATCATTTGCATGAATATTTACTAATAATCTGAGAATGTTCCTGGGCAGATCGTTATTATAAAGCAGAAAGAGGGTAGGACCGAGTAATGAACCTCGTGGGACGCCTTCATTGATCTCATGGATCTCAAAGGACTGTCAATTAACGACGACCTTTATGGATCTACGCGATAGCAAGGATAATTGAAAAGACTCTTCTAAAAATGCCATAGCCAGAGAGTTCGTGTCGTAACCCCATTTGTCACACATTGTTAAAGCCCTTAATGAGAGCTCAATTCCAGGAGTCGATCCCTTACATGAGTATCAGTCCATTGCACTAAAAGGGATGGGTTCAAATTGATTTCGTGATATTGTGGCGCAGCAAAGGGAAGTGCAGGGAGATCTGAGTAATTTCTTGATCGATCTCGATATACACTTAAAGAGTCCTATTTTAAACATTACCTTGTATTAAATAACACACTCCTGTGGGGATGGGAAATGCCTTATAGTTGCGTCTATTGGTATTTCAGTTTATCCACTATAGACCAAATATTTGGAGCCACCCTCTGGATTTAATAATTAGTAGGTTTCTTATTTTCTTTGGTTTAATTGACTGTTACTATTAGCATTAGTGCATGATATCTAATATTTTAAAGAAGAGGGTTACCTGAAATTTAAAACCCGCCAGCCCTAAGATTACTATTAGCCAAATTAGGTAGATTAGACAAAAAGAGCTAAAATATTAAGAAAACTTCATGCAGTAATGGGTAAATTTCATTATTATTATTGAATATATGATAAAACCCATCCAGAAGAGAAATTATCTCTAGCCTGAAGTGGGCTAGCAAATAAAAAGGCACGCGACAATCAATTTTGAGGCGATTCTTCAAAATCCGGAGGGTTTGCCCAAACTTTTGGCCTATAATGATTGATTTTTTTTATCAAGCTTTTTAGTGTTATTTAAAGCCGAAACATAGGTAAGATTTTTTTAGAGATAATAATGATATTCTGATACCTGTCCTACTATTTAACCCATAGCTGGGAGAAGAAGAGGTTAATTTAGGGTATTTGCACATGAGTGAATATAACGGCCCCGACTGGACTTCAAACTTAGATCTTCGATTTCTTATTCCGAGCCGTTATCAGTTGCACCATTCGCGAATCCAAGCTTACAGTATCTGGTATTCCCCAGCGGTCACTCATCTAGGTACTGACCAGGCTTAACGTTGCTTAACTTCGATGATCGGATGGTAGCCAGTGTTTCCATGTGATATGGCCATAAGTCATTTTTAGCTCATATTTAGTGCATATCATGTGTTTTCCAATTTGAAGTTCCTCCTCTGACTGAAATTCCACCTCAATTTGTCCCTTACTTAAAATTCCTCCTCTTAGATTTAAAATTCCTGCTCAGGGTGGAGTGGGTGGAAAGTGTCTCAGGTTTGAGAATCTCTGCTCTATTTGGTTCAATTGTGAACGAGGCTTTTGCTTTTCGTTGTCCTTTGCAGTCGTTCATAATATTTCGATCCATAAAATATAATTGTAATAAGAGTGTACAAAAGTGTAAAGCCGTCGTGTGTTCGAAACTAACTGTAACCCTTACAGTGGAAATTTTATGCTAGACAAAACGAAGTGGAGCAAATATTTACATCTATACATTTTATCTTGCGTCATTGCTACTATTTTGAGCTGATTAAATAATTAATAAAAACAGCACTAAGCAATGATCAACAACAGACAGATAACCTGACCTCTAGCGTGCAAAAAGCTTTGATTTTTTCAATCAAAACATTTTCCTTTTGCTTAATGAGTTTCTACAATGTCTGCTTCTTAAAAACTATGGACGAAACTGATCGATTAACAAATATAGATTAATAGGTAAATACATATATATATATACATACCGTTCAATTTCATTAGGGCCCAAAGTTTTCCATTTATCCAACAGGAATACTTGCCGGCGTCATACAAAGAGATCGAACTGATTATAAGTTTATTTAAGCTGTCAATATATACCCTTCCATACGATATTTCAGAGATCGTAAAAGAATTAAGAGACGTAGTTCCGTTTTTCCACCAAACCAAGCTGTCAATAGTTGCACTGAAAAGAAAAAACGAAATATGCTTACATATATTAGACGATTTCGTACGGTCATAACAAAGTTTTATTTACGACACGAAAGCCTTCAATTTGTGGTCTTTTTTACATTCTGTCTTCTCTGAAAATTCAGTTTTTCATTACCCGAAAGAAATTTAAAATCTATAAAATTAATTCAACTGGCTTGACAACTTATATCAAATGCAATGTGAAAAGATAATGTCGACAGTTGTAATATGTACATTTGTAGTTGCATCAAATGTATAATTTCCTTTAATCGTGACCGCTGATGTTCTTTTTTCATAATCGTAGAAAAACAACGCAACACGTTGTCTGTGCTCGAAAGACTTCGAATAATGTAGAACGGGGGAAAAAAAAGAGGACAAATCACCCATACAAATTCGAAGAAAGGCTAAAGTTTTCGTATTTCAAACTGTCCGACCATTTCAAACAGTGTGGCCCACAGTCCCGACTCACAACTTACCCGTGTTATCGAATCGATAGACATTTGAAAAGCAATTAGAAAAACATTCGCCAAATATTTTACTGGCAAGAGTGATGTATGCATTGCGTGACTTAGTCTACATCAGCTGCAGACGAAGTGCATTTCGTCGGTCATGCGACTTGCAACGTGTCGTGTCATTCCTTTATGTTACCAAATATGCAGGAACTTTTTCGGTCACGCAATTATTAAAACTAGCAGGAACCATGTAAATTCCACAAATTTACTAATACGTTTTTTAATGCTGTACTCTGTGCATTTCAACCCAATCCCATTTCCAGATAGTTATAAGAAAAGTAACAGTCTTTCTTAAAATTACTGAAATGTCTTCAAATCGTTAGCTCACGAAACATGATTTAATCCTTCAATACAAACAACTGCCTTTATCTAAGATGACACCGTCTCGAAACTAACTGTTTTTGTCTCTCTACGTTCTTCACTATCTTTTTGTTTTACTATGCCCCTCTTTCTTTCTGTTTCTGTTGTAGCATACCTACGGACGATAGTGGGTGTGTCTCAATTCTCATAAATACAGTAGTGAATACTGTACGTGGTCTAGAGTTGGAGATTCATTGTGGAATTCACTTGACTCATTTCTAGCAGTTGACTACTTCTACGCACCGCTGACGAATCTTATTTGTGTTGTTCTTGTCCTAAGTATTATCATTCATTACCAACCTTCGTTTGATTATTCTATTCAGTAACCTTCCCTGGGTTACAACAGTTTCCCTCTCAGACGCTCAAGACAGTTTGGGTTCCCTCAGTCTGTAACAAATTCGCGAAGATTAGATTAAAGAAAAGGAAGATTTTATCTTAAAAAAGGTCACTTGAACTTCAGGGGCGAATGTATCCTCAACAAATCTTTAGGTTATGAAACAAAATTTAACTCTTCGCTACAAACAACTGCCTTTATCTAAGATGACTCCCTCCAATCCCACTCTTCGTTGCATTCTTTTTCTCTCCATACATCCCTGTCTCTTTTTGTTTTACTATGTCTCTCTGTTTCTGTTTGCCTCTTAGTATCTGTGATACAAAGTGCGACACACACAATACATATGCACAAGCGTATTAATATATAGATAATAATTTCAATTAAGACATGCCAGTTGCTACAATGAATAAATAAATTCAATTAAAAATAAGGAGGCTTTAGATCAGTGTTCCTCAACCGGGGTCTTCCCCGGAATTCTATGTTTCCGCAGGAGGTTGGTTGGTTGTTTTGTTTTATGGCATATCAAAATCTCAGTGGGTCATTTAATGTCAACATAATTTTGAAATAGATTCATAGCGATAGTTTGGTAAAAAAAAGTGTGTATGTATACATATATATTTGAACCATTTTTCAATCACTCATATTTTTGAGTACAATCCAACTTCTTTTAGGAAATTTACAATCTTGGATGGTTTTATTTTCGCAAAATATTTTTTAAATTATTCCCTTGGTAATATTTTGTTCACACTAGATCAAAATCTACACTCTAACAGTATATGTTTAACTGTACATTTCTCTTGGCATGTAAGTGCATATTGGGGATTCTGTGCCCTCTAGTTTGGTTTGGTTTGTTTTACGGCATATCAACCTCAATGGATTATTTAATGCCGACAATTTTTATTGCTGGTAATATATTTCCTTAAAAATGTATAGCTGGTAATCTTTTTTTTTCAAAAATTCATTACTGGAAATATTTTTTTACAAAAATGTATTGCTTATAATAATTATTTACAAAAATGTATTGCTGGCAATAATTTTTCGTCAAAAATTGTATTGAAGGGGTTTAAACGCAGTTTTGGGGTTAACTATTTGCCCATAGCTGGGACCCTAACAGGTGCTACTATCGCGGGTCAGAGTGGACCTGGGAACATCAGCAATTAAGAATTGGTTCCACGCTCCTCCACACCTCCTGATCAGAGGCCTTACTGTTGGACGTAGTTTATCGTCTTACCCAGGATGCGGATGTAGTTTATCGTCATACCCATGACCCTCTGCAGGAGGTCGCTTGGGGTTCCACAAGAAGTAGTGATAAATATGCTAATGCATTTTTGAGTAATTTTTGTTTAATTTTATATTCGTAATTTTACTATACACATAAGACATATTGTTGGAAAATCCTTCGTTATTATAATATTATATTATTATAATACTTATATTATTTAAAATTATAATAAGAATAGAGAATGACATTATCAATAAACGATAAGTTACTGGAATCGTTATCTTCTTTCGTTCTGTTTATATGTGTTATACGTATGTAATATTAGTTACTTATGTTGATTTTTTGTATGAGAGTTTAGAAATTATTTCGTGTGTAAAAACCTTGGTCTCATAAACGAACAATATGATTTTTTTAAACGCCAATAAATTCGTCGAAAAAGGGGGTTATTTTTTTTCTCCTTAAACCAGTTATCCGAAGAAATATGTTCACCGCGTAAACTAGGATATAAAAGATAGATATTAATAATGGTTATATAACAATTTTTATTATGAAGGGGTACACTGAAACATGAAAAATATTTCAAGGCTTCGACAAGGGCAAAAAGGTTGAGAAACGCTTCTCTAGATGATAATAGAGATGATGACAATATAAATTAATAAATGGAGCTAGAATAATATACAGAAAGTTAATTTACCCTGGACATTTTATTTTGAAGACCTCTCCAGTTGTGGCCGTAAGTACTTTCCTGATCACTGCAAAAATAATATAATCTACATATATTAAATGCATCGTTCGCGCATGCACACATAAATTTTATATATATATATATATATATATATATATATATATATATGTATGTGTGTGTGTGTGTGTGTGCGTGTGTGTGTTTGTGTGTGTGTTTGTGTCTGTGTCTCTCTGTGTGTGTCTGTGTGTGTGTGCGCGCGCACACACGCGTGTGTGTAACATTTCATGCTTTATCAAATGAGTCCACTGCATAGAAATAGACAATTTGCTTATCTGTATGTAGTGAACACTTTTGGTGACACAGTAGGAAGATAATTTTTTTCTTAAATTTATTAAGTAAGCAATTCATTCAAGTATTTCATATGTATTGGCCTTTTTCGATGTTATAGTTTTGTTCTGAAATTTAAGATACCGAATGCCAATGGCTTTTATTGTTGCAACATATTTATACTAGAAGCATTGTCAAAGAAGAACTTAAACTGTGATTGGCTATGTAGATAAATAAGACTTTGAAGTTAGATATGTTGAAATATATTTATATACTAGCTTAAAAGCCGCCCTATCGCGTGGCATTTAAGCTAATTCCTTCATGCATTTAGTACATATTAAATTTTATTCAACATGGACAATATGGTCCTCTCACAAAGTCAGTTTGTATCCATGAAATAATGTTTAATGTTTGGATAAACAGAGTTAATCAAGTCTTAGATATTTGAAACTGAAACTCCGCAACCATTTGGGAGCGAAATATCTCCATTTTGGTCCATTTTGATTCTAAGTCTCATGTTTGTTTTCAGGCTGAGTCTTTGAACATGACTTGTAAAGGTTTTTCAGGCAAGCATTGATTTCACCACCTGGAGTTCTTCGTGTAATGACTGGTAATGTTTGTCTAAAATTACCAAAGAGTAACACAGTGATACCGCCAATGATTTGTGAATTCTGTTTAATGTGTGTTTTGTCCCGGTCTTCAAATGCTCGCTTGTGAGTCATGGTACATTCATCCCAG